ATACATACATTTATAGATAAAGTACACCCAGACACAGAACAAAAGACCGTGCTCATCACACAATTATTTGTTCTGGGTGGGAATCGAACCCACAACCTCTGGCGGAACAGTCAGGGTCACTAACCACTAGACCAACAGACCAGTCAAGTAAAATAAATAGAGCAGGCCTGTGCAAAACACAGAGTTAAAAAAACCCACACAGGTTATTCCTCTAACTGATTGTTACACAGCGGTTGAAACATGCTAGCTTAGTATCTACACCACTCGACTATTACAATGTTCTTCTCATGATGCCCATACCAAATTGATCTCTCATACAAATTGGTATGCGCATCAACTCTGTGCCACGAAATTGTTAGATTCCAAAGTTACATTTCACAATCGCATCCGAATTTCAACCTTACTGAGTCAATTCCGCGAGAATCATACAAATGATAGTTTAGAACGAGCCCAAGGCAGGGTTATTAGGTAACTTTCTCTCTGAGCTCGGAGGTCAATAAGTGTCATGTACATCTTACGTCATAATCACAGATGTAATAGCGCGGATGTGCCATCTTCGCTTGCAGTTTTACTTGCTGATTTCCTATTTCAGTGACACGTGCATGCGTTTTTTGGTATATACACATTACTTAGAATACAATTCATTTAGAATTGAGTGTGTTAAGTAATAAAGCTTAAATCATCGTAACAGTATAATAAATAAAAATTTAAAAGCCGTCTTTATTTAAATTATAAAAATATTGCTCCAAAGCTCTAGTGATTATACTACCCACAAAAATAGGTAGGTATTCCTAGTCAATCTTGATCTGATTCCGAAAAAATCTATCTTACATATGTATCTATTTTTTTTTTTAAACAGCATGGGCATTTTGGTGATCAAGAACTCCTAGGTATCGAGTATTCGAATCAAAATAATTCTTACTCCTTAACGCCATAAGTAATTTCACACGGAGTTAGCAAATACACAAAGATCTTTTTAAAAGTTCCTTGCTTCAGACCATGATATAACTGTGGAAAATAGTAAATATGGAATTATCACTCACAAATAAGAAAATTACAGAGGCTTATTAACATTATTGATTAGTAACGACAAGTGCAAACGTAATGAATTCGTAATTACTATGTAGAGACGGAATTTACTAATAATTACTGTAATTAAACCCGCATTACGTATACATCATTATATTTTACTCTGTTATTATAATACTAATAATACATACACCTTTGTATTTATTTATTTTGTATTTCTTTATCTTATATATAAAATTCTCGTGTCACAATGTTCGTTCCCGTACTCCTCCGAAACGGCTTGACCGATTCTCATGAAATTTTGTGTGCACATAGGGTAGGTCTGAGAATCGGCCAACATCTATTTTTCATACCCCTAAATGGTAAGGGTGACCCATCCCTAATTTTTTTTTGTTTTGCAATACAACGTTTGCCGGGTCAGCTAGTAACTGATTAAATTTACGGCCCGATGGCGTAGCGATTTATGTAACGGACTGCTACGCCAAATATCGCGAGTTCGATTCGCGTTCAAGTCTAACTATGTGCATGAATATTTCATTTTAATGTTTTATTTGGTTTGAATGTTTTTATGTATAATATGTATGTATTTCAAAATAAAACTTTATATGTATTTACATCAGTTACCTTACACCCATAGTACAAGCTCTGCTTAGTTTAGGACTAGATAGCCTTGTGTGAATGTTGTAGGATATTGTTGTTATTAATTAATTTGATTTACGATTTTCTAAAGCACAATTGTTGCTGTTTTTGATTCAATTTACCTCTAAAGCCACAAATGCAAATTATGCGCTAACAAGGCATTTTTAAAACAGATGTATAAAATATTCTGTTTTGCAACAAAAGCAAAAGGAATGTTCTTAATTATTCAAATTAATAAAAAATTATAATAGTTAACAATAACATATTAACATTAAGTAGTAGTAATATGTAATAATGATTTTAATTTATAATTAACATTTCGAAATTTTCAAATTTCTTGAAACGCATGAAAAAGTTTTAACTTATAATTAATTCATTTGCAAGTCGGTTCACGCATTAAAATACAAAAAACACGCCACTACAAACACATTTGAGCCTACAGAACACACAATATTTAGTCATTTTGAAATTTATACGTATTTTAGGCCTTGTTACATCCACATTACGTTTTTTCACGCCACAGTAAAAAAATACTTGAAATAACTAATATTTTTTCTGAAAATCTTATCATATACTAAAAAATTTTTTTTCCTATAAAAAACACAACTCCCGCACTAGGAATATATCCTGTGTCGCGGGGGACTTTACACACATACATGAAACAGACACAAAAAACACCTAGACTCAGAACAACAATTTGTGGATCACACAAAGTGTCGTCCCATGTGGGGATCGCACCGACAATACTCAGCGTAGTGTTAAGCTGCGTGGCGACCGCTTAAACCACTACAAACTCCTGGGGGAATTCTTTAGATACTACTAATACTGGGTAATAAGCGTAGGAGTAAGCCTGCGTATGACTGAAGAAGAAGAAGTTGATGATATCAGAAATTGCTGTCTTCTATCAGTGTAGGACAAGAGTTAAAATGGTAAAAGTCTTTGCCTTTCCTTTCAATACAATTTCAATTTAATTCTCCAACCCCTACAGTCCAGTTAATAGCAATAGTATTGCCCCCTATTACGTCAGCGTGAATAAAACTATAGTTGGCTAAATGTGAATACAGCCTACACCTCGGGGATATTGTAGTGCACGTATATTTGTATTAATTAATTGATGTTGCGAATTTAAGTAGGTTGGACTATATTGTCCGTATGTTGTGTCCGCTATTAATCTCTTAGGTATCGTAAGAGCCGGCTAAGAAAGCAAACTACGCAGGACAACAGCACTACAAAGAGAAGGAAAACTTAACACAAACCCTATACAACATATCTGGCCAGCGTGGTATAGTAAGCCAAAACCTCCTTTCCAACAGTAGACTATAAGACTGTTGATGAGTTCCTTTATAAAGACAATTATTTATGTTAACGCTATCTTCTATGTAGATAATTTAAAGTACGTGCCCGCAATCTTGGACTCTATTGCGCAACACCACAAGGTTCATTTGCAACACAGATAATTTAGGTGGTCGTACCGCTTGGCGTACTTGAATCTCCCTAATGCGTCGGTGTGAGGCCGTTGATTTAAATCGTGTGGTCTGCTTGTGTAAGAACAGATTAGAGATTTCATGCATTGTTATGCGTTGCTCCATGAGATTTAAGGACCACTGGACATAATTGGTCGTGTGTAAACGGTAGTAATTGAGCGTGAATTAAGTTTTGCTTTTAATTATTAAGTAACTCTTTAGCGTTGAAATTAGACGTGGATGGGTCGGTGATATTTGTACATAGGTGACACGTAAACAATGACTTGACTGCACGGATGGCATAGTGGTTTAAGCTGTCACCACGCTGCTTACTACTACACTAAATGTTGTGGGTCCGATCCCCACATGGGACGACACTTTGTGTGATCCACAAATTGTTGTTCTCAGTCTGTGTCCGTTTCATGTATGTTTGTAAAGTCTCCCGCGACCGAGGATATAATCCTAATGCGGAAGTTGTCTTTTAAAGAATCAAAAAATGAATACCAGTTTCAAACTTTGAATTTAATTGACCAAAGAACCTGTATACTTTCCAACGACGACAATACTCACGAATATAAACTAGCAAGAGCTGGAACGTCGTTTTAAACTCATCCTCATAAATTTTTCAATAGAATTAACTCTGGTGAGTATGTCAAACCTCCCTGTAAATAAAATTAACCCTCATCATCATTATCAGCCTATTGCAGGCCTGTCACATTGCACGCCACTTAGATCGATTTTGGGCTTCTCGCATCCAGCTCCTGCTAGCCATCTTGCGCAAATCGTCACTCCACCTGGCCTGTGAGCGTCCTACACTACGTTTGCCGAGACGCCGTCTCCACTCTAATTGAACCCTAATCATTTCTATATCGAGACGTCTAAACTACTAGACGTGTAAAGATGTTTCATCCTTTCAAAATAATAAATAGATTTCTCTTAGATAGGCGTGTACTATACTCGTTTTGACCGCCACTTTTCATCAGCTGAGATAGAAAACAAACGCCTATTACAATTAATCATCAATAAAAAAACTGAGTCATCAGAATCGAATCTAACACCATGATTTTACCTAACACCAACAATTAAACATTAGTGCAATTTTAAGGCAAGTTACTAAATTTACAATTAATATTCAATGTAACATTTAAAAGATTACCAAAGAAGCTTGATCAGTATTTTTTTAGGGTGTCGTTTACGTCAGGTCTGGCAAATTGTAGGATGTATTACGAAGTATTACAATACACACAAGGTTAGTTTCGAGTGTGGTGGATGTCTATAATTCAAGTGCCAAACAGAATAAAAGAAATAAATTACATTCAAACTGTAGTCAAAGTAAACCCGACTGTTATTCATAAATGCCATTATCCTCCGGCTCACGTACATCGAGGAACAAGTAGTCGGACAGTAATCCTTTCTCGAACTGCTTATCTATGGATAACAAGTAGTCAGCACGTGCTTGTGTTAAACCCACACACTTTTGTGTTTAAGTGATCTGTTGACCGCGATCGTGTTCTGCATTTATTGTCCTTTTATTTTACCTTGTATAGTTTTAAGACCTTTTTTTACTAACGATATGTTAGTATGACTTTGCATAAAACGATATTAAAAAAAAATATTCCTTCGAATTATTGGTCATTTGAGTTCCAAAAAGAAATGTTTCTAGCCTATCAAAGTACATAACCACATGGTGGTATTGGTATTGGTAGAGGCTCTATTATCGCGTTGCGGCTCATGAAGACAAATGTGTGTGATAGAGTATTTAATACTATTATATTTTTAACTACTAGCTACTAGGAGATTAGAGATTGTAAGCTATATCAAGTATTGTGATAAAACATCATGTTTTATAATTGCTGTTGTTGTTCGCAGGCGGTACCCGCCCTGGTGCTGCTCTCACTGGCTGCTGCAACACCCAGGAGACACTACAAGCGAGATGGTATGTACCGCCACTAAATATAACGCACAGAACCGGCGCAGCCTGATTTCTTTAGTTGGCCTTTTTGTGTGATTTGAATGTCACAATTTGCTAACAATTTCAGATAACATCGTGGTAACAACAAACTAATAAATTGCACTTGAAAATGGAAAGACGTTGATATAAAAGCCTGTTTAATATAATAAACCATGAAAATAAAATAAAAATAAGTTTTTTTAGAAATAATACTAGAAATAAAAATAAAAAGACAATACAAAAAATCATTGACAAAGAAAATATTTTTATATTTTTACAACTCCTTTTTACATGTACACTCTTTTTTATTCTAAACCTCATTTATTTATTTATAAAGTTTAGTTGATCTCCACTATAAGATAAGTTTGTATATTATTTTAATTTCTTTTTTCTAAATGTTTGTTAGTTACTTTGCTTAATTTTTCGGTTAGTAATGTTAAGTGTAAGGGCTGCCTTTTGCGGTATAAGCTTCCTCCAAACTATTCCAAATGGCTGTATCTTGTGCCAGTCTGGGCCATAAGTTGCCCACAGTTTGTACGATGTCGCCACTCCATCTTTTAAGTCCTCTACCCTTCTTTCTTTTCTTGTGCCGTGGGTACCAATTTGTAGTTGTTTGTGACCGTCTAAACCTCATAGTATGTTGACTATCTACGGTAGGTCTTCAAAACAAAATATAATAAACAAATACTGACAGCTAATAAAACTACTAATATCATTGTTTACAGCGGCCTTGACTTCATCGTACCTTCCGCCTCCTCGTGGTGGTGGCGGCGGCGGTGGTCATGGAGGTGGTGGTGGCGGCGGAGGTGGTTACGGCGGCGGCGGCGGTGGTGGCGGCCACGGCGGCGGCGGCGGTGGCGGCCATGGCGGCGGCGGCGGCTACAGCGGCGGTGGCGGCCACGGCGGCGGCGGCGGCGGTGGCGGCCATGGCGGCGGCGGCGGCTACAGCGGCGGTGGTGGTTACAGCGGCGGCGGTGGTGGTGGCCACGGCGGCGGTGGCGGCCATGGCGGTGGTGGTGGCGGCCATGGCGGTGGTGGCGGCGGTGGAGGTGGCAGACCGTCCTCTTCCTACGGCCCCCCAAAACAAAGCTACGGTCCTCCACCCAAACCTTCGAGCAGCTACGGACCACCCTCATCAAGCTATGGTGCCCCTCCTAAGCCTTCCAGCTCCTACGGCGCACCAAAACCTTCTAGTTCTTATGGAGCACCGGCGCCTAAGCCATCAAGTTCTTATGGTGCACCTGCACGCCCGCCAGCAACCAGCTACGGCGTACCTACTGGACCTTCAACTACCTACGGTGCACCTAAGCCTTCTCAACCATCTAGCTCATATGGTGCCCCACCCTCAAGTTCATACGGAGCACCTTCTCCTCCTTCTAGCTCCTATGGCGCTCCTAGCGGAGGACACGGCTCTTCTGGCGGAGGCGGTGGAGGATTCGGCGGTGGTTCTGGATTTGGAGGAGGACATTCCTCAGGTGGATCTGGCTTTGGTGGTGGATCTGGGTTTGGCGGTGGTTCATCATCCGGCCCATCCAGTTCCTATGGTCCTCCTGCTTCTCCACCTTCGAGTTCATACGGCGCTCCTTCTGCCCCGTCCAGCTCTTATGGTGCCCCTGCAGCTCCTCCCTCTTCCTCATATGGCACTCCTTCAGCTGCTGGCGGCGGTGGAGGATTTAGTAGTAGCAGCAGCAGTAGCAGCGGATTCGGTGGTAGTAGCTTTGGAAGTAGCGGTTTTGGAGCCAGTGGACCTTCATCAAGTTATGGCGCACCTTCACCCCCCTCAAGTTCTTACGGTGCTCCATCTCCTCCGTCAAGTTCTTACGGTGCTCCATCTCCTCCATCAAGTTCTTATGGCGCACCTGCTGCGCCACCATCTAGCTCTTACGGCGCTCCTTCTGGTGGCGGTTCATCCGGTGGATTCGGAGGTGGTCATTCCTCCGGTGGATCTGGATTCGGAGGCGGTGGCGGATCTGGTGGATACTCATCTGGTGGATCCAGCGGATACTCAGGAGGTGGACACTCTTCCGGTGGCGGAGGCGGTGGAAGCGGTGGATACTCTTCAGGCGGAGGCGGCGGTGGTGGCGGTGGATACTCTTCAGGCGGAGGCGGCGGTGGTAGCGGTGGATACTCTTCAGGCGGAGGCGGCGGCTACTCCTCGGGTGGAGGTTCAGGTGGCGTGCCTGCCACCATTAACCAGAGCTACGACTCAAACGGCGGCTATGTGTACTAGGACCAGAATCCACATATCCTAGTACTTAATGTACTATAGTCAATAGTTAAGTCACGCTGCCCTCAGTATTGTCGTTTTTATACCACAAATTATTGTTTGTAATTTTTGTGGGTAACTAACACTTATACACTAAATACAAAACGCTATATACATTAAGTTAAGGGAGACAGGAGTGGAATTTCCAGCCAATCTGATATCTTCCAAGATTTTATCCAAAAAGAGCTTCACCCAAAGGCTCAATAAATAAACTAAAGATGTATTTTTATGTTTGCTGAAATTTATACCCCAATGTGATGACATTGGAGAGAGTGATGAATCGGTGATTATTATTATATGACGGTGATCAACAAAGACAGGTCAAACAGTGCTTAAAAAGTAAGCAACACTTGAAAGTATTAGCTCTATTTTAATTTGTAATTAAATAAATTGTACAAAAATAATTTAAGTACTTAATAATTATTTTTTTATATATAAATAAAGGTTTTGTAAATATTTCTTGTGTTTTTATTTCTTCACTTTCATAAGAAGAGTAAGTTGCATTCAAAATGAAATGAAAAACAACTCCCCATTTTCTGACGTCGAGTCAGATAAATAATTAATACTTTTTATTGCCAAGAAAGTTTATTACAACAGATATATTTAGGGCATTTTTGAGAGTATTATATACGAAATACGTAAATGCGAATGTGAGTTCGTCAAATGCTCGGCATGCCTGGTTAAATTGAAAAAAATCACATCACCGCGAACCATTTATCTAGAACGTGGCATGAAAAATCCACATGACACTAGCCAAACAGGACGGGTGGCTCCGTGACTCAGTCTCGTTTCATCATCTGACACTAGGAGTGACCCTCGACCTATCCATTTATTCTGTCTGAAAATGATTAAATCAGAACTCCTTGATATGTTTCACATTGCTTAGACCATAAATAGATAATAAAACATACCTCACATATCTCACACACGGCCGTATGATCCCAAATTAGGCAGAACCTGTGCTATGGTAACCAGACTGCTGATAAACATACTTATATATGTTTAAATACATACATATTATAGACACACTAATAGGGAAAGCTGATTCTAATGATGATGTTATAAATATTATTTATAGATTTATTAAAAAATGAGAATGTATTCAAAAGACTGAGTATCCTAAAGCTATTAATAGATAGAGAATATAGTTTATAAGCTTGGGGAGGGCCTTCTTCAACAGTAGACGGCAATAGGCTGATATGACAATGATGATGAAAGCTTACAAATAGGCACTATTTTAAGTGCCTTTTAGACTTTTATAAGATCTGGATTGTAGACTAAATGAGCTATAATTCAAATTAAAATGTATACAATCGTTAATTTCACCATTAGCAGAACACTGTCATCTAAACTCGTGCCATGGTAGAATTAAAAAGTCATCAAACAAAGTGGTTTGATAATAAAAATTTGTCGTAGTCAGTATTTAAATGGTGGAGGGGAAAAAAAACCAACGAGTCAACGTACTATATGTTTTATTTGACGTCGCCGAAACGACCGCGGAATTCACAACATTACACTTTTTTTTTACACATTTTCTTTTTCAAAATATTCAACAAGAACTAGGAATAAGTCAATAGTAGGTATAGTATATCTACCAGCTAACAGTGGGGCGGCCGCTCCCTGGCAATAGCGATCACACTCTTTACGCGCCAAACGTATTATATTTATAAATACTTATTTTACTGTTACTTATTAAGATCATAAAATTATCTTTTTCTATGTCTGGACACATAACAGGTGCATACTTGTTACAATTTTAAATGCTTTAATCAAGTAGGTATGTATTTCGGTGGTGTTGGACCAGTTTTGGGTCTGATGTAGACCTCCACCCTAATACCTCACGATTACTATCCTAATACGGTTGTGTCACATCTTCGCTAATTTAGATAAACCCTCTTGTTAAAGGAGTTAAAATCAAAAATATTCAGATGCCCGAAATATATACACTTGTAAAACCCATCATCAATAATTAATTTTAAAAATATTTTCTCAATACCTAAATTATGATTTAAAAAAATGATATGATATATATTATACTTAATACAGGTTTATATAAAAGTAAATCATACATATACTATGGCTAATTGATGTCCTTATAGCCTCTTCAATCACAAGACGGACAAAAGGGTATTAGACTACGGCCTTTTCAAGAAGTCTCACTTCCATTTTCTTCCCTCCCACAACCTCGCCTTATCCGTTTTCTTTACCACAATTTACCTTCCTCACTCCCTCCTTTAGCCCGTCTGAAAAAAAACCATCGCTTAGCATTGGGTAGGCCACCATGATCCGGATGTCTTAATAATAGCAGTTCCCGAATCTCTCCTATTATAGGCGCAGAGTGGCACACCGTGTGGTTTTAGTCGATCCGATTCCAACATACCACCCACCGCAAACCCCGGTGGGGTGACGGCCTAAGGCGGTTTCCATATTTAAAAAAAACGAGTAGGCTACCATCTTTAAAAGGAAACAGGCCAAAACTTGTTACACGTGATGCCAATCTTAAATAAATGAGAGAGAAAGAACAATACGTTTGCAATGACATTGACCGCATTAAGACCAGGAAGCGACGCCGAAGAACAACAACGATACCTATATCTACTCTTACATATATGATATGTACCATTTCACACTAAACACTATGATATGTATATTATAATTAAGTCACAAAGATGATATGTATCGAGATCGTAGTCTTAGCAAGGTTAGGCAGTCATCACAACATTATATACATTTTATCACTGCAACACAATATATAATTTATATTATACTTTCAATTTTTATATAATTTATAAACTTTATCAAAAAGAAAACAGTTCGTAAGCTTGATACTATGTCATAAAACTTAGCTAACAACTTATAACTTAACTTTCATAGCAACTTTTGGACCTATAGATGTCTAAAGATACATTCACGTGACAATAAGTATACATTTCCATCTAGAGTTGCCAAAATGACAGTATAATCTATTAGCAAGATATACATTTTTATATATTTTAATATATAACGTCGAAAAGCTTCAAATACGCACTTTAAACACGGAAAATATATTAGACAGGGGTAACAAGTAGGGGTCAATGGGAATGGGGGACACAAAGAGTCGCCAATACACATATAGTTTTAAAAATACAAATTATTAAAACTATTAGCTGTATTTCCGTAACTTAGCTGCTACACCAAGAAGCTCTTTAAGTATTTTCATAAAAAGAATATTTATTAAAGATTTTTTAATTTTAGATGATACGAGTATTAATTCTGTTTAAACTGATTTTAGGCCAGTTTATACTGATAGTACTTTGTTTTGGTTAGTGTTGGTTTGTTAGTATTTGTTTGACTATTTCCAACAGTACGCTATTCCATTTTCAATGATATTAAAATGTGTCACTCTAAAATAGACATTTTCAACTAATTTTCAGGTAAAGCTCTCCATGAATTAAGACATTCACTAAATTGTACTAACTAGACTAAAATACACTTTACTTGCAAACAGATTAACATTTACTGTGCGCAAATCTTTAATATTTCAACTAATATGTATCAATTATATTAACGAATATAGATTTATTTATACAGTGTAAGTTTTATGCAATTAAATGAATCGATACACTACGACGATGTGGCGTTGTAGATCTACTCTTACTGGTTTTATTGCTTAGTTTGTTAACATACGGAATATTTTGGTATTTAATTCCCAAAGTTCTCACAAACAATAAATGTGATATTGTGTTTCATAAATTCCAAAAAGAATATAAGCTCACAAGTCTCCAAGTAACTGTCAATTTAATCATTGCATACCAACTGCAAATCACATGGTACCAAAATATTAGATGAAAACCTTACGCTGAAAAATATTAAAACCTTGTTTTCTATATAACATGTGTGATGCTTATCAAGCGCTAAGTGATCAATGATCTATATATTAACTGGACAAGTTTCAACAGTACACATTGGTTCGAGGCAGAACCATATCTAATACACACTCAGACATACACCATGTGATTTATTAAGCACGACGGCTCTGTGCTTCTCCTTCTACGATAATTGACTCAAAAGGAATCATCATCAATATAAATAATATATAATAATATATCTCTAACAACCAACTAATTCACATTTTGATATGTATGAGTTACACTTCGTAGTTTTAAATATAGTATGTTGCACTACAACATAATACAGCTTATATCGTTTATACATCAACTATTAAACATACAACTATTGCTTTAAGTGCAAGAAAGGAGCCTCCCCGAGTGACGTACCCACTGATCTACTATACGTCCGGCGCACCCTGGGCAGTCAGCGAATCCCCACGCTGACTGGCTAATCCTTTCACCACGATGACAATTCCAAGTCCTCCAACACCGGCTTTGTGCGTAGTCTCGATTAACATCGAAGGGTTCTCTCAAGATAAATCGGAAATTCTTTCCAATTTATGCCGCAAAACTGGCTGCGACATTCTTTGCGTTCAAGAGACCCATCGAGATGAAACCCAAAGCCGGCCACACATCGATGGACTCACGCTTATCGCCGAGATCTGTCACCCAAAGCACGGTAACGCAGTGTTTGCTGCTCCAGGCGTAAGCATACTTTCCACCAAATGCTCAAACGAGAACGGCATAGAAATTATCACAGTAGATGTTGGTAATTGCTCCATCACTTCCATTTATAAACCACCCGGCACCACATTTAACTTCACTCCGCCAGAGAACTTTAGTAGCCTGCCAATTAAAGTTGTAATCGGTGACTTCAACAGCCGCAGCACCAACTGGGGCTACAACGACACGGATATGAGTGGAGATGCAGTCGAAGAATGGGCTGAGTCGAATGATTTGGCACTAATCCATGACGCCAAACAACCGGCCTCCTTTAACAGTGGTCGCTGGAAACGCGGGTACAATCCTGATTTAATCTTCGCTAGCTCTTCTATCAGCTCACAGTGCACTAAAAGAGTGTGTTCACCTATTCCTCGCACTCAACATAGACCAATTATGTGCTGCATCGAATCCGTGGTCCGATCTATAAATGTCCCCTTCAAGCGCCGATTCAACTATGCCAAGGCTGATTGGGGGTCGTTTACGCAATCGATCGATGACGCCCTGTTCAATGTCCCACCAACCCCGCAAAACTACGACCAGTTTGTCGAGATTGTGTCAACTTATTCCCGAAGACACATCCCAAGGGGCTGCAGGACCTCCTACATTCCGGGGCTGTCAACAGATTCCAGTGAATTACTGACGCGATACGAAACACTGTTCCGATCCGATCCTTTTTCTGAGGCAACCACAATTGCTGGAGAATTGTTGCTATCTAAACTAGGCGAAAACAGACGAGAGAGGTGGACGAATACTGTTACTAGCATCGACATGACTCACAACAGTAAAAAGGCTTGGAGTACGATTCGAAAGCTGACCGGTGAGTCCCCTCAACCCGCACCGCCAAGCCAAGTCACCGCAAACCAGATAGCACATCAACTACTTGTTAATGGCAGACCAACACGCCGTTCCAGTAGGATCCCAAAATCACAAAAAACTGATGGCGCTGCTGACGATATCAGTAAATCATTCAACGTTACTGATATCGTTACAGCGATAAGTCGCCTTAAGTCTGGTAAAGCCTCTGGAGTCGACGACATCTCAGTCGAGCAATTAAAACAGCTTGGCCCAGTTGCTGTGTCGTGGTTGTTGCAACTTTACAACAACTGCCTGAAATCAGCTTCAATACCCCGTCTCTGGAGAAAATCTAAGATCATTGCAATCCCTAAGCCAGGTAAAGCAGCAGACGATCCTAAAAACTTTCGCCCTATCTCTCTACTATGTCACACATATAAACTATTCGAGAGACTGCTGCTGAGCCGCCTTGTGGGCGTCATTGATCCAAAACTGATTCCCGAGCAAGCTGGCTTCAGACCCGTGAAGTCTTGCAGTAACCAGACTCTTAAAGTGGTACAACACATTGAGGATGGCTTCGAGAGAGGAATGGTCACTGGTGCTGTATTCGTGGACCTATCAGCTGCCTACGATACAGTCAACCTCAAGAGGCTGTTGTGGAAGGTGGAAACCTTGGTCAACGATCAAAATTTCATCCGCATACTCCGAGAACTTCTCCACAACCGCCGATTCCAAGTCCACCTTCTCTCGGAAAAAAGTCGTTGGAGAGCACAGAAAAACGGCCTACCTCAAGGTAGTGTCTTGGCACCGCTTTTATTTAATATCTATACCAATGACCAACCATCCAGCCCACATACCTCCCGCTTCCTCTATGCAGACGACCTTGCCCTTACCTCCCAAGCCACCACCTTTGAAGAGGTTGAGGTGTCCTTGTCAAACGCTCTTGGTGACTTAGCCACTTACTACCACGCTAACTCACTCAAGCCCAATCCGAGCAAAACGCAGACGTGCATTTTCCATCTTCGCAACAGAGAGGCGAGCCGCAAACTTAACATCGTTTGGGGTGGGGTATCCATAGAGCACAGCAACTTTCCAAAATATCTGGGTGTTACTCTGGACAGGTCTCTAACATTCGGCAAGAACTGCAATAACATTAAGCAGAAGGTGCACTCTCGCAATAGTCTTTTGCGGCGACTAGTCTCTTCAAAGTGGGGTGCTTCGCCTGACGTCATGCGGACTACTGGGTTGGCGCTATCTTTCTCTGCGGGTGAATTCGCATGTCCCGTGTGGGGTCGTTCAGCCCATGCAAAGTTAGTGGACACAGCACTGAATGAAACGTGCCGGATAATCACTGGCTGCCTCAAGCCGACCCCGGTACAGATGCTGTATCCACTGGCAGGCATAGCGCCACCAGTAGTTCGCAGAGCGATGGCGAGCTCTAGCGAAAGAGCCAAAATGGTCTCCGACGCTAGACACCCCCTACACAATAACATCATAGTACCGCAAAGGCTGAAAAGCCGCAACAGCTTTTTAAAGTGCGTACCCCCGCTCACTGGTGAACGCTCTAAGGAAAGACTTAAGTTGTGGCAAGATAGCGTTTCCTTACCCAACCCATTTGTGCCACTTGCCGAAAATCTTCCACCTGGACACGAGTTGCCATGGCTGACCTGGAAGTCTCTAAACAGACTCCGGACACAGGTAGGCCGAAGCAAAGAAAACCTGTTCAGGTGGAGATTCATAGATGACTCTGCCCTGGAGTGTAAATGTGGTCTTGCCCCACAAACTATGGGGCACTTGATATCGTGTCCAGCCTGCCCTGTTACTTGCACATCACAGGAACTGATGGAGGCTACTGAAAGTGCCAAACTCGTCGCCAAATTTTGGGCCGACTCAATTTGAATTGTCATCGACACGCTAAGAAGAAGATTGCTTTAATGCACTACTTGATTATATTTATTTATTTTAAAATATTTTATCAGTTTTCCTTTACGTTGTCATAGTCAAATAAATTGTTCTACTGTATGTATATTATAAGTATGTTACATACAAAATTGTTTATAGGAAGATTCTGATGATTTATGATATGTTTCGTTTCGTTCGTCTTGAGCATCACATTCTATCGGTACCAAAAATACTGATGTTTATGTATTTCGATGTACGGTCACACCAAAATAAATACTATTAAACTAAAAATAGGTAATAGTAAAATTTTCGGAAAATATAAGCCCGTTTTCTAAATCTCCGTGGTCTTGCAACGCGCGGCTTAGAATGAGAACGTCGTCTAAGTAAACTAATAAGAATACTTATCGTCTCAGAAAGCCGTTTGTTTGCCAAATGGCTGGACTGGAGGAGGAGCGCTACTGGTGCCGAACAGTGGAGTTGGTCCATCATTAGGGTCATCCAGGTCATCATCGTCTGGTTCGAGAGCAGGATTGATCCTGCCAGAAGATTCATCGGGACCTACAAGTGTTTGGGCCGCTCCGTACAATCTGCCAGGTACTCCTCCGAGAACTGACATCTGTTCTCCAGCTTCGGAAGGTTCATCCACACGGCGGATATCCTCAGGTATGTTCACGACGCAATTGAAGTAATCGGACTCTGGGCTAAGGTACCCATTGTTGAAGAGGTACCTAGGGACAAGAAACATATTACAATTAATAATAATAAATATATTTCTCTCATAACTTTCGTACAGTAGGTCACAGAGTATCGTAATTACATGTATTAAAATAAAATAATTTAAGTTCCTTAGTGAGAGCTGGAGTCTATACTAGGCTCGAAACCTGTATGGCAGATCTTCAGGCCCAGGAAAAATATCGATTGTGAATAACGTTAAAATAGTGTTTCTACACCTACAATGAAAATATAAACTATGGTAATTCTATTAATAATAATAATAATTATAAACTTTTATTAGGTGGCAACTTGGCCCAATGTGTTAGTAACAATTACCTTAAGCCTAGTTAGTAACTTTTTTTTTTTTATCGTGACCTTACTGAGATTATATAATACCGAGATTTCAGGAGAGTGTGCTTGTGTGTAGTTTGTGTAGAGTGTAAGTGATTGTGCATGTGTGTGTTTAAATTAATTAAAATTCATTCATAAAATGTGTTAGAATGTTACGGTTTTACGGATATATTTAGAAAAACATAAATTCTGTACACAGAATCAAATTAAATGGCCGTTGTATATACATATATTAGCATATTTTACTTTTGTATATAAAACTAGCAGACTCGCTCAACTTCGTCTGCGTCTGTAGAAAGGAATAAAGTTTCCCTGTTTTTGCAATATTTTCATGAATGGCTCCTATTAGTTCTATTGGCTTTCTCGGTAAATGGGCTTTCTAACACTGAAGAATTTTTCAATTCGATTCAGTAGTTCCTGCGATCAGCACGTTCAACCAAACAAACAAACTCTTAACCTTTATAATATTAGTATAAATCAACACAAATGAACCAAATATATTAAACATATATTATATGTAGGCCATAACGCACCTTTATTCATAAACTGAATTAACTTAGAATTTCAATATTGTGGGAAATCGCATTTAAAGTTTGACATTTGTACGTGCGAGTTCGTCAAATAGAGAACGACGATCTCCTTATCTCTGCCATTTTCATGGTATCGAGTCGCCTGTTGGATTGTTCGTGTTCTACTGATGAAGTTGATTTGGTATTTGTTAAAAACTCGAAAAACGTAAATTTTGAATTAATTCAGTTTATTATTAAAGGTGCGATAAGCTATACACGTATTTTTTATAAGTTAAAAAGGAGTTCTCAAAATTATCATATTAAAGTAATCCTAATTAGTATATAGCTTTATCGGTTTTTCTATCTGTCTAAAAAGCTTATGCACATACGAGTAAATATCTCGAGACGATCAACTATAGATTCCCAGACTTTCCAATTTAGTCCTATCACCCACTTAAAATATTTCATTGTTGGATAAAATACTTGTAGTTTTCTTTTCCATATACCCCTTTTTTTCTGTGCGGCAATCCCCTCGGATACCATGGTGGCTCTGTCGGACTCGAACCGACTAAAAACTAAATCCCGTCTCGTGTACCAGTAGCCGGGGAACCAGGTGTACCCTAGAAATGCAATCCCCTGGTACCCCGACGTATCTCGGGGCATCTACGGCGGGTAGATGACCCCCTCCTGTGTGGGAGCCCCCATGTTCCATTGGTGGTCAAAAAAGATGGCCTCATGGTCGTTCCCGGGCCTGGCGGGCCGGGAGAGTTCTAAACCTCTCCCGGGCCCGCTCCGCCATCTCCTTCGCATGCTCGCTCGCAGATATATACCCCTAATATCATTTTATATATCACAAAAAAAAAAATACGTGAAACGCAAAAAAAAATATTCTGAAATGCATTCTGTTTATGTTTCTTCAAATACGTTGATAATAAGCAGATATAATATTCAGTTTCAAAACAACATCGCCGCACCAGTCGTGATCGGCCATCACTTTCTAACTACCTACATATTACCTCAAAACAGTCCGTCTGTATGTCGGCATCACGACCCCTACTTGTCCTATCATTACGATGATTGGAACATTTAGTCGCAAATTACAATTATTATGACGTCACACAAACAAACCTTAATTTGTATGACTTGTAGTAATTGTACATTTGGAACCACAAACGAGTTGGCAGTTATCCACAGGTCCTATTGAATTAAAGACGCCCCGACCCGACTTTAAGAGGTCCGGTACTCCATATTCAAAAGGCTTTCCACATCCTGCCTTATATTTAATCTTGTTTTATGGGGCCTTAAGCGGGTTTCAAGGATAAGTGCTATTAAAATCCATCTGACATAAAGCCTGTTTAAAAACATACTAACCAGAATAAATAGCAAACATAATAATTATTAATCTCAACAATATTGGGACATCGTATGTGATAATATGTAAAAATATCCACTTAGTCTTTGATTTTAGGCAGACTATGATAAAGTCTATGTAAATTTGTTTATCTGAAATGTCATTTATATATTTAAAGATGTATTTAACGGTGTATAAAGACATGGCTTCCTTAATAAAAGTGTACTATTAAACGCTTGCGAATTATTTTACCACTTTCTTTCCTATTTAATCATCCTGATGATCCTGATTTGAAAAATTGTTACGGCGTGGCATTGAACCCATTAACTTTATAGTAAACCATACCATTTCATGTAACGTGAACTCGTTTGAAGATGAATTGAACACCAACACAGAATATTACTCGTATTTGAATAGAAATCCTCTGTGGAGACCTTCAGATAAAACTATGTTACATGTTTTGTAAACTAAAGTTGTTACGATGAACTTTGTCTTTGGTGATATCGACTAGTAAATCGGCCCTTTTGGGATCGGGCTATGACAGCTCTTTGTAACTACGAGGGAGTAACCCTTCAAAAAAACATTTCGTCTTTCCCTTCGTCTCTGAGTTCTTTTAGCAGCTTGACAAAGACCTTCTTTGAAAATTAATAAAAAGCAAAATATTGCTTTTACGCAACGAGAATATGTACCATTAAAATCTCAAAGAAATTTAATTTCTGAGATGGAAATTACAATTTTAAAGCAAAGTAGTGTCGGTACATCGGACTTGCTTGTGTATAATTAATTAAAGATAAACTCGAACCCCTTTTAGACCCTGAATACTTAATTTAATACTGACTGTGCCCCAACGACCTTCGTCTGCGGATTATTATATACACATGCTTGTAGATATAGGATCGAGTAAGAAATTAATATTTACAGATATATAAACTGTACAATATTTTACTGAACAGTAATAATCAATATGTAACCTAAATGAACATAGTGAAAATAGTTTAGTAATATAATTTAAAAGACATAGGGAAAGTCGTGTTTATGACTACCCAGTTAGTGACTACTCGCGCTCATTGACACATGCGTCTTAAAATACACAAGTGCCTTCCCACCACCTTCCCCCATTACAGGGAGAGGAGGAGGGGATTGGGCTTCGATAAACTTACTCAATCTGTGAAAAGCAACGAGAGAATTACCGTTGTTCTGTGAGGCCGCGAGGCTCTGGTCGTGCCGGCCCATATACATATTAGCTGCCAAGGGTTTTATATCTTTAGTAACAAAAAACACAAAATGGCCCCTATCATTTTTTTTTAACTAATCTGTAAAACATTTAAAAGTTCCGCAGGGAGAAATTCCCAGTCATCCGAACCGCATAAAGGCTTTTTTTAAGTTTTTTTATTTATTACTATATTTAAAAGACACGCCCGCATTAGGAATATAATATCCTGTGTCGCGTGCGACTTTACAAACATACACGTAACGGACACAAATATCACCCAGACTCAGAACAATAAATTGTGGATCACACAAAGTGGTGTCCCATGTTAGGACCGAAACCACAAAACCCAGCGCACTAGGAACCACTTTGCCATCCGTACAGTCAATTTCACGCAATAACTTACTTCAACTTAAAAAAAAATAGGAATTAAAATCACTTGCGTGATTAATATCGTAGAGGTTTGCGGTCAAAGGTTTTAAGTGGTATACTGGTGCTGTCTAAAAATAGGAAGAGAAAAATATATTTTGACGGGTCTCAAGTGAAGAGATAACATAACCCACATATGTATGAATTGTAAACATTACCTTAATTTAATTAAGCTTGTAGCAGAAGCTAGGCGTTCGAGGGATTCGCAATTTCAATTAGTACCGAATCATTATCAGCGCGTTCATCATGTTACTACATAAATGAATATTGTTCGACATGGTAAACTAATATTTTTCTACATAACAGGTTCTTAATTATTATAGGTGTAATACAACAACTAATAATATATATAAGAATTAAATAAAAACATGTCCCACAAATAATCCATCATTGGTGATAAGGTACGAGTATTTCATCATAATATTATTGGTTTAGTTTAGTTTTCTGGGCCAGGAATATTTTATTCACCTGATGGTAAGCAACTACCGCCGCCTATGGACACCTGTAACTCAAAAGTCACAAGTGCGTTGCTGCCCTTGGAGTCCCTCCCGCTCGAGTCAGCGGGAGGGGGAATTTGGACTCCGGACCTCTTATATTTTGAGAAACTAATACTTACACGGACAGCCAGGATATAAACGCCAGAGTGAACAAAGACATCGTCATCGCCATAGTTCTGAAGGGGAACAACTGCTGTTCCGTTTCCGCATCCCAGCCTGGGTAGTGTATCAGGGCAGGTAGACCCAGGAGTTTCTCCCCTCCGGAGAGCCTCACCAGCATTGCCACGATATAGGCCGCTAAAGACCCGTACGTGTTACAGTGTCTCTTGAAATGGACGACCATCAGGAGTTGAGGGAACAGGATGACGTACACCAAGTCAGAACACATGGACCTGTGGACAAAGGAACGTATGAAATGCTTATCGAACAAATGAGCGATATTTCTTTAACAGTGTGCGTCTGAACATGTTTCTAGATTACAAAAATATACCCTTGTGAAATCAAATTGGGTTTAATTTAATGCAGTTAGCATATACTAATAAAATACAGTTAAATGAAACTCAGTTCTGGTTATAGGCCGGTCTCTTTATCAGCCATTTTCTCTAGCCTTATCAGTTACGGACGTTTGACGACGGGTTAGTCGAAATTTTTAGGCCTGTTTATTAATTTTCCTACATAACATCAAAATTGCGGTGTGGTCACCTAGCCTGGTCGAAGGAATTTCCCTTCGTGAAGTACGTAACACCCGTTCCAAAGGGTCAAGTGCTTTTAAAAACTTACTCAATGTCATTTGCCTTTGTCACTTCAACAACTTCAACATGTAAACTCTGCCTGCCAATCTTCTTCCATTCGTAGATCTTTTGCCCCACCTTGTTAGTGGCAATAAAGGTGAGCTGATGTCATCACCTCAGCTTTATATTATGAGTAAAAACGATGAACAATAAAACACAAATCAAATTGTACGTAGGGTTTATCATCCGGTAGAATATTAACATGTAGTAAGTACGTAATTACTCGATGCAGTCGTTTAAATCTTGTGTTCCTATCGTTCAAATGCTATCGATTACAGATTACGAAAGGCACCGTAGCTATTGATTACTCGTTATTTTAAATAATTTATTCACACACAATGAAATCCTCTACAAATATACTTACACGAGGGACTTTATATTTAATGTCCATGGTGAACTTTGTTGCGTCAATCGCTTTTAAAAAGATGGCTTGGCCAAGAAGTTGATGATTTCTGTGATAAGTATGAAAAGGTGGCAGAAACTGCAAAACGTTGTGAAAACTTTAAAAATAAACTTAAAGCTGCTTTCAATATTTCAGTACTCTGCGTAGACAATAACCCTAACACTTCTGAAAAACAGGTGGAAGTTTTATGATCCCTGACTCCAGATTCGGTTCTAAGCAAAGCGCCGGAAGTGATGTCAACAAATCACTTAATAGAAATAGCGTTTACTATGCAGGAATTTGTCCATTGTATAAAAATAAAAGATAATACTACCGGCGATGACAATATTGCCTGCTCAATTATTTACAACTTACCTTAATATGAAGCTAAAACATTTCTTTTAAATATATATAACTAAATTTTTTATGACTACACAAAAACAAAATAATCCTTATAATAAATTAAAGCTACGTCCGTTATCACTTATATCCTGTATGTGTTAAATGATATGTATGTTGGGTAAGCGACTGCAGTGGTACTTGGAAAAAACAATATCATATCAGAATGTACAGTTCGACTTAGAAAGTCGCAGTCGTGTATAGATAGTCTATATCGTTTAATATCACAGATACAAATAGGTTACTCTGAAAACATACCTACCGTGGCCATTGCCCTAGATCTAGAAAGTGCCTTTAATAATGTTTTGGTCAATGCGTTAATTAGAGTTATGGACGAAATTAAAGTAGGCGCTAAAATTTTTGGAATTTCCTGAGGCATAGGCATCTAACAATCAAAAATGATGATTATCAGCCGATAATTACGAGATGGACATCTAATGGGCTATCTCAGGGTGACCCTATCTCGCCTTTATTTTTTAACCTATCAACATATAAGATATGTAGATTAATTAAAAATGACATGATATCGCAATATGCCGATGACTTTGTTATTTTTGGGTGCAATAAAAATCTGAATCAATGCAAAGTATATATAAGTAATATTAATTTTATTATTAGATGAGATAGGGCTTAATATATCTATAAATAAAACGAAGTATTGTGTGTTTAGTAGAGGACACAGAAGAATAATTCAAAGTATTACTATTGACGGTTATGATTTGTCGAGGTCCCCATGTAAAAAATACTTAGGTATGTGGTTAGACAAATGTCTCAACTGGAATAAACACATAGATAAAACAGTTGAAAAATCGTCTAAATTGTTAAACTTGTTAAAAGTTTTAGTTGACTCGATGGTCGTCCCGGCTGGAGGCTCCACGTGCCGGCTTTGCCGCCGTGGAGGCGCTCCAGCCGGTCATCGTCGAGTGGGCAGGGCGACAGCACGGGACCCTTTCCTTCTTGCTGAATCAGGTCCTTTCCGGGCACGGCTGCTTCGGGATGTACCTGCACTCAGTCGCTAGGAGGGAACTGAGTCCCGCCTGTCACCACTGCGATGGCAGTGAGGCTCAGCACACGCTGGCAATTTGTCCAGCTTGTGCAGCATTTCAGTTATCGGGGAGGGATCTCTCGCTACCGGCCGTCATACGTTCCATGGCCGGTAGTGACAGATGTTTTACCGCGGTCGCATCCTTCTGCGAAGACGTCGTCTCGCAGAAGGAGGCGGCGGAGAGTACCCGGGCGGATGACGTCCACTCGGACCCAATTCGCCGCCGGCGAACTGGGCGGCGGAGGCGCGCTTACCAGCGCCTCATACCGCCCTGAGTGTGGCTGCGTGTGGCCCGGAATGGGTTTTCCCCTCCACGCGCCATAATGGCCAGGTGCGAGGAGGTGACCTCTGCGTGTGCCGGACGTCACCTAAATAGAAAATATACCCGAAGGTGGTGCCCGCACAATTGCGGGCAGGCACTAGGACGGGCCTGGCATGCCACCGACAGGTGGTATCCGAGGGGATTTCCGCACGGAAAAAAAAAAAAGGAGGGGTCCGGATGTCTTAACAACAAGTTCCCGGATCACTCCTCAAAGTCATCTAAGAGATTTTTGATACGTATATATTTAGTTAGCTATATATTTTTAAAAACAAAGATTGTTGCTATTGTGTGTGTTGATCTATGACTTTATAGTCTACACAAGAGACGATTTCAAATAATCTAAATTTTAATGAAAATAAAAAAAAACGTAGGTATATTTTGACATCACAACTTCAGTATAAAATAGTTAAGACATTGTGCATTAACGAAAGATATAACCTACACATTATATAAACTTGAAGGACAAACCGATTTCTTCCGATTTGTATTTGAAACAAGCAGACGGGTCACCTGATGGTAAATGAGTACCCCATAGACACCGCCTTTTGAATGTGCCGCTGAATTGTGCGTAAAACTAATTTTAGCGAAAAGCCAAAAGTTGTGTAAGACATTCTTCTGAAGATTAAGATTGTTTGTTGTTTAAAGTAAACAGTTCGTTACCTGTTTATTCGTATCCTCTATTTAAGTGAGTAAGTTCTAGTATCCGGATAGTATTTATAAAATTTAAAATAATTTGTGTATTGAACATATATATAAAAGATATAAACTCTAATATTATTACCGTTGTTAATAGCCGATACTACTCATACACTTATCTGTATTTTAAGGGACTGATGATAGTTTTTATTGAAGTTGCTAAAACACAATAGAATATAACGGCCAATGAAAAGCCTGCTAAAAGTCTATGGACTAAAACTAATCGTGTAATTAACAAAAAGAACAACCCCGCAGAGTTTAGTTAAGATTAACATGTTATGTATGCTGATGTGTATTATATTTATTATAAAATATACAGTATTGTAGTTTTTATACCATAGGCATGCACATTACACACAAATAGATTGACAAACGAAATTAAAACAATCTAACTAATGAGCAAGAGTATTTTTTGCATGGCACCTAGAATTTACAACAGAATACCTGGGGCCATAAGAGAACTCCATCTACATTTATTTAAAGTTCACTTTAAAAAATATCTCATTAATAAATGTTTTTACACGATTGATGAGTTTTAAATGACCGTGATACTAGTGTGCTTTGACGGTGACATTTCCATATTATCAATAATTTGACTTAACACATTTATTTGACCACTTAATTATTGTTATTGTAATTGCCTGATATTTGACCAATAAAACTGATTGTCATTAATTTATGTATTGCAATGTCTGTAGGTATCAGTTTCTGACGAAAAGTTTTGCACGCCTACCCGGCAGGATATGATGAACCTTTGTTAATTGAATTGTCCAACCCTGTACTCATATTCATGCAAATAAATGATTATTATTATTATTATTATTATTATTATTATAACAAACAAAAATAGTTTAATATATTAATATAATATATGAGTATTTTACTACATTCACACAACGCTATCTAGTCCCAAACTAAGCAGAGCTTGTACTATGTGTACTAGACAACTTATATAAATAACATATATACTTTTTTATGTAATTTATGCAAACAGTTTTATTATATTATCTTCAAAGTTGTGGAACAAATCATGAAGTCCATCCAAGTGATCGAATTTACCACTCGACCTATGTATTGTATACACGTTACATGGGTGAATTTAATCAAAGGCTATTTGTTAAATTTGGGCTGTAGAAAAATTTGGTTACAACCACGTGGGTAACGTGCAAAAAAACTTCTAGTAAACTATTGAGTATATGTCTGTCAGGACAATCAATAAGGAAAGAACTATAGATAACGTTTCTGACACGAAGAAAAAAAAAATCGAATTTGTTATTGTTGCATAGTTCCAATCCACTAATCAAACAGTAAATTTATTAAATTACCACAAATCTTTACCACATATGATTACAAAACCGATGATTTACAAAAGCGTGCCTTGAGTGCAGAAAGAGTGCTTAAATTCTGCAGACATAGTACGATGAATAGATACGCGTATCATCCATTAGAGATGCGTTTGATAGCTTTATGTATATTAGGATGACTCGATATTGACAAATAGTGTTGCACAGCTCTGAATAATAAAAGCGATGGGATGGTAACAGCCAGGAGGTTACAAGTACATTTGCAATGGGAACACTGTGCTACGCAAATATTCATTATTTGTTCAGAGTCTGAGTATTAAATAAGAAGACTGTACTCTTTTGACTTCTATTATTGTTTTCGTCAATATCTCGGAGAGAAAAATATATTTTTGACGTGACAACGTCTTATAATTCGATGGAGCCGGCTGCACGCACGAAAAAACATGACTCATGCGGCGTTACCTCGCTCTGAGGCGTTCCATTTAAGGCTTGAAGTGCAAGCGAGAGCGCGCAACGAGCGACAAAGAGGCACAATCGGCCTCCGCCTTCGGCAGCGTTAGACATCTCTCTCTCTCCTACTTGAGTGAGCGATGCGTCCGCGTGGACAGCTGCTATACAATAATACATTTACATGTTTTCGTAAAATGCAACCATTCCATCAATATTTTCTTATGACGTTGTCACGTTCAACTATCGTAAGTAAACCGACTTTACAGACAACCGATTTTTTTTATTTTCAAAGGCAACTCCAGCACTAGGAGTATATCCTGTTTCGCGAGGGACTTTACAAGCATACATAAAACGGACACAAAGAACACCCAGACAACAATTTATGGATCACACAAACTGTAGTTCCATGTGGGGATCGAACCCACAACACTCATTGTATTAGTAAGCGCCATCCGTGCAGTCATTGGTACTGAAATATACAGGGTTAATTTCTGTTTACTATATAATTATTTAATATTATGTAATCCGCTCAACTTTGTTTGCGCTTCTCAAAAGAAATATTTTTTCCCCGTTTTATTAACATTTTCACTGATAGTAGGCTCCCTTTAGTCGTAGCGTGATGTTAGAAACTTTCCTCGATAAATTGAATATCCAACATCAAAAGAATTTTTATTATTCGAACCAGTTCCTGAGATTAGCACGTTCAAGCAAACAAACAAACTCTTCAACTTTATAATATTAGTATAGATATACTACATAAAACTGTAAAAAAAAAATAGTTATGCAAAGCTAA